GTGGCTGAAGCTGCAGATGGACTATGGAGCATCCATGATGCTGAGGACATTGAGGATTACATGTTTAGTAAGCTGGTCACATTGCAAGTAAGGGCTACACAGGTCGAAAAGTGTTGGGTGACCACCAGGAAGACTAGAAAGTGTGGGAAGGTAACGTAGGAGTCCCCTTTGACTAACCCTCTTTGAAACAGATATCTGTGTTGGGTACTGTTGGGGGAGCAGGTGATGGCCTCTCAGGGGCAACAGCCAAGTTTGTGACATCATGATTGGCTCTGCTGCACAGCAGGGGAAGATAAAGACTGTAAAATTTTTAGTGATAGCGGACTCGATTGTAAGGGGAACTGACAGGTGGTTTTCTGATAGCAAATAAGACTGTCAAATGGTATGTTGCCTCCCTGGTGCCAGGATTAGGGATGTCTCAGGGCAGCTATAGGGAAGGATGAGCAGCCAGCAATTTTGGTATATGTCAGTGACAATGACATGGGTTTTAAAAAAAAGGACCCTGCAACATGAATTGAAAGAGTTAGGTCGTACATTAAAGAGGAAGACTACTAAAGTTGTAATCTCCAGATTACCTCCTGTGGGCAGCTGACTCGGCCAGCATTTACTGCCCGTCCCTAATTGTTAAGACCCATTGCTGTGGGTCTGGAGTCACATGTAGGTCAGATCAGGTAAGAATGGCAGATTTCCTTCCTTGAAGGACATTAGTGAACCAGATGGGTTTTTCCCAACAATCGACAATGGTTTAATGGTCACCATTAGACTCTTAATTCCAGATTTTTAAAAATTGTATTCAATTCCATCATCTGCCATGGCAGCATTTGAGCCCAGGTCCCAGAACAATACATGGGTTCCTGGGTTAATGGTCTTGTGATAATACCACTACGTCAATGTCACCCCTTAAAGCTGGTCAAGTGGTTGAAGTTTCAGTGGGCGCACATTTTGGGGATAGTGACCATAGTAAGTTTAAAATTCATTCTGGAAAATGATAAGCGCTGTGCAGAAGTTACATGTCTAAATTGAGGGAAGGCCAATTTCAATATCATCAGTCATGATCTGGCAAACATTGTCTGGGAGCAGCTATTTGCAGGTAAATCTACATTTGGACAGTGGGAATCTTTTAAAAGTAATGTAGTGAGAATTCAAGGCCAATGTGTACCTCAAGACTGAAGGGAAAGGGCAGCAAATCCAGGGAATCCTGGATGTCAAGGAACAGCATATATCAGGTACAGCACATTAAAAACAGGGGAGATCCTTCAGAAGTATAGTGTGTAGGCGTTTGCTTAAAAAAGAAATTAGGAGGGCAGAGAGAGGCCACAAAATATCTTTGGCAGACAGGGTCAAGGAAATTCCCAAGGCTTTTTATAAGTATATTAAGAGTAAGATGAAAAGCTCTTAAACCAGGGAAAGAGCAGGACCAATCGGATACCAGGGGATCAGTGATGAGGTTTACGTGGAGATAGTCAGGTTCTAGAACGTGTTGAGATTAATAAGGAGGAGGTATTAGATGTTTTAGCGGGCAAAAAGGTGCATAAAAACCCAGGCCTGATAAGATGTATCTCAGGCTGTTATGAAAGCCAAGGGAGAAGATTGCTGAAGGCTGGAGGAGATATTTAATACTTTGCTGGCTACAGGTGAAGTGCCAGATGACTGGAGGAGAGCTAATGTAGTTCTTTTGTTCAAGAAGGGCAGCAGGGATAGGCCGAATACTGTATATTTGGTTTACTGCTCTCTCCATCTGTCCTGCCAGCTTCAGTGATCTGTGCACGTATATACTCGGGACCTTCTGCCCCTGCACCCCCTTTAGAGTTATAGCCTTTCTTATATTGTCTTTCAATTTTCTTTCAAATAAAGTGCATCACCTTACATGTCTCTGCTTTGAATCTCATCTGTCTCCAACCGCCTTTTCCACCAACTTTTCAATGTCCTTTTGGAGTTCTATATTGTCCTCTTCACAGTTTACAATTCTTCTAAATTCAGTGTCATTTGCAAAATTTGAAATTGTTCCCTGCACACCAAGATCCAGATCATTTAATATTTATTGAGGATGGAGAACCCTACTACAAACAATCCTCCATATTGATTGACCATTACTCTCTGTTTCCAATTACTCAATTGGTTTTGTGTTTGTGTTGCTCCTGTACCTTTATGTCATTGCTTATAACTTTCCTCACAAGTCTGTTGTGTGTGGCATTGTATCAAGTACCTTCTGGAAATCCATGTATACCACATCAATAATGTTACTCTTTGACCCTTTATGTTCAAAAAGTTCTTTTCAGAAAAACTCTAGTAAGTCAGTTAAACACAGTTTCCCCCTTAGAAATCCATGCTGACTGTTCCTAATCAACCTACCCACGTGATTACTAATTCTATCCTAAATAATGTTTCCCCACCACCAGATTGAAACTAACTGGTCTGTAGTTGCTGGGATTATCCTTACAATTTTTTTTGAACAAGGCCATAATATTTGAAATTCTGTAGTCTTCTGGCATCTCCCCCAAATCCAGGGAAGGTTGTAAGACTATGGCCAGTGCTGTACAATTTCTACCCTTAAATTTCTTCAGAATTCTTTAGATGCATCTCATCTAGTCCAGGTGCTTTGTTAACTTTAAGTGCTAACAATGTATCCAAGGAAAAGCCAGGGAATACAGAGCTGTGAGCCTGATGTCAGTGGTGGGTAAGTTGTTGGAGTGGATTCTGAGAGACAGGATCTGCATGCATTTGGAAAGCAAGATTAGGGATAGGCTTTGTGCATAGGAAATCTCACAAACTTGATTGAGTATCTTGAAGAAGTGACCAAGAAGATAGATGAAGGCAGAGCAGTTGATGTCTACGTGGACTTTAGCAAGGTTCAGCATTGTAGACTGGTTAGTAAGGTTGAATCACGTGGGATCCAGGGACAGCTAGCTAATTGGATACAAAACTGGCTTGACGGTAGGAGCGGAGGGTAGTGGTAGAGGGTTGTTGTTCAGACTGGAAGTCTACAATGTGCCGTGTGCTGCAGTGATTGGTGCTGGGTCCACTGTTGTTTGTCATTTATATAAACAATTTGTGTGAGAATATTGGAGGCATAATTGCTAAGTTTGTGGATGACAGCAAAATTGGTGGTATAGTGGACAGTGAAGAAGGTTATCTTAGAATATACAATGGCATCTTGATCAAGTGTGCCAGTGGTCCGAGGAATGGCAGATTGAGGTTTCATTTAGATAAATGTGAGGTGTTGCATTTTGGTAAGACAAATCAGTACAGGGCCTACACGTTAATGGTAGGGCCCTGGGGAATGTCCTTGAACATAGAGACCTAGCGGTGCAGGCACATAGTTCCTTGAAAGCGGCGTCACAGTTAGAGAGGGTAGTGAAGAAGGCATTTGACACTCTTGGCTTCATCGGTCAGAGCATTGAGTACAGGAATTGGGACTTCATGTTATGGCTGTAGAAGACATTGGTTAGGCCACATTAGGAGTTCTGCATACAATTCTGGTCGCTCTGCTATAAGATGGATGTTATTAAACTGAAAGAGTGGAAACAAAGTTTTACAAGGATGTTACCGAGACAGGAAGGTTTGAGTTACAGGGAGAGGCTGGATAGGCTGGGACTTTTTTTCCCTGGAGTGTAGGAGGTTGAGGGCTGACCTTATAGAGGTTTATCTAATTATGAAGGGCATAGATAATGTGCATAGCGAAGGTCTTTTCCCCAGGGTAGGGGAGTCCAAATCTAGAGGGCATAGGTTTAAGATGAGAGGGAAAAGATTTAACAGGGACCCGAGGGACAACCTTTTCCACATGGGGAGGTGCATATATGGAACGAGCTGCCAGAGGAAATAGTAGAGCTAAGTATAATTATCCCATTTAAAAAACATTTGGATAGGTATTTGGATAGGAAAGGTTCATAAGGCTTTGGGCCAAATGCTGGCAAATAGGGCTAGTTCAGTTGAGGAAACTTGATCCGGCTGTATGACTCTATGACTCTGTAACTCTGTCTTTCCTATACATTTTGAACTGTTCTAGTGACAGAGTTTTCTCCTCTGAGCAGTAGCATCCTCTTTTGTAAAGACTGATGCAAAGTATTCATTTAATACCTCATCTATGTACCCTATCTCCAAATGTAGGTCCTCCTTTTGGATCTTGGCTCATGTGATAGTATCCCTACCTCTGAGCCAACAGTCCTGGATTCAAGACCCAACTGCTCCAGAGCTGTGTAATAACATCTCTGAACAGGTTGATTAGAAAATATCTCTTCTCCTTTTTGGTCTGTGACTGACCCTACTCCTCATTTAACCTCTCTTCTTACTGTTTATACGCATACAGTAGAATTTGGGATTTTCCTTTGTTAACTGCTAGCCCTTTCTCCTGGTTCATCTTCTCTTATTTGCTTATTCACTTTCCCCCACACAAACCTTCAATATTCCTGTTGATTCTGAATTATATTTTCTTCCTTGCATCGGTCATAAACATATTTTTCCTTTGTGATGTTGATTTCAACCTCCTTTTGTAGCATCTTTTACTGATAGAAACAGGACAGTGGCCTTTCCCATTGAAAGCTCAAAATGGGCATTCTGGCACATGGCGCACCTGATTTTCTCTGATGTTTTAAATGTTTTCTAAAATTATATTGAGCAATTTTAGTTCAGTTTAGTAGGTAATTACAAAGGAAATGTTAAAAATGTGTTTTGTATTGTTTTCTCACAGTGCTGTTTCTTTCCTTTCTCTCAGTATTAATTGTAGTGGTGTCTGCTGTACTGCAGTCTTAAAGTTCTTCACTTTGTTCCTTTCCTTTCTCCTACTTCAAGAACTTTCTGAGTTCACATTTGTGTCACATACTTTCAGTTTCCTTTGTTTAGCATATACTGCGCAGTGCCCATTGTTACTCCTGCAGCATACATTAATATGTGTTACGTGTCAGGCGATCCAACCAGTTTCATTTTTTGGAAGTAGATTTCGGATGTCTACTAAAAGTATTGATGCTTGTGCCATTGTTTGGTATTTTTCATGACTATTATAGGACCTATGAAATTATATTGAATGGTGGAACACCTTATGAAAAAGGTTTAGAAGTAGATCCAACCATTTCCAAGAGAGGTGAGATTTATCTATTTTATTTAAATATTCCTGATTCTGTGAACCGTATTCTAATCTAGTTTGCTCCTTCTGCTTTAGCTACTTTTTTTCAACATTTGATGGTGTCCAGAAAACAACCTAAACTGCTGGTGAAGCTGAGGTCACCAACTGGAAAAATGAGAGCTATTCTGAAGTAGGTATTTATAACCCGTGACTTGGTAATTTATTTTGTAAGATATATATTTTAGTATGACTAGATCATAGCAATCTAAATACAGTTTTCCTTTGTGAATAAAACTTTTTGTTGACTATAAAGTACAGGTAGACATTGCCCTTACCAAAATAGAGTATGCAAGTAACATCAGTATTGTTTTATGCTTATCATTCATTTATAATAGGTAGGAGGATGTGTCGGAGGATGAATTTTTATAAAGGATCTCCTGCTTATTTGCCATATCTGAGGGGCTACAGCAAACCCTAGAAAATATTGAATTTCTAAAGTACATCTTGTAGATAATACACATTGCTGCTACTGGGCATTGGTGGTGAAGGAAGTGGATGCTTGGGGATGTAGTACAAATCAAGCGGGCTGCTTTGTCCTAAATGGTGTCAAGCTTCTTGAGTGTTGTTGGAGTTGCATCCATCCAGGCAAGTGGGGTGTGTTCCATCACACTCCTGACCTGTGCGTTGTAAACGGTGGACATGCTTTGAGAGGAGGGGCAGGAGATGAGTTACTTACCGCAGTAATCAAAGCCTCTGACTTGCTTTTGTAGCCACATTACATTAGCCTTAATGATGACCTGCTGAACCTGTGTGCTAGCTGTGGTTCATGCACAAGTACACCCAAAATCTCTTTCTAAATAATTGTTATTTACTGCTTCCTTTCAAAATGCATAATTTCACTTTTAAGTGGCAAATCCAGTTGAGTTTCTGGTCACTGGTAACTCCCAGGATGTTGATAGTGGGGGATTCAGTGACGGTAACACCCTTGAATGTCTAGGGGCAGTAGTTAGTATGTCTCTTATTGGTGATGGCCTCAGTCTGGCATTTGTGTGATGCAAATGTTACTTGCCACTTGTCAGCCCAAACCTGGATATTGTCCAAAAATTGTTGCACTTGAACATGGACTGGTTCAGTATCTGAGGAGTTGCGAATGTAGCTGAACATTGTGCAATTATTTGCAAACCTCCCCGCTTCTGATCTTATGATGAAGGGAAGGCCATTGATGAAGCAGCTGAAGATTGTTGGGCTTGGGACAGTACCCTGAGGAACTCCTGCAGAGATGTCATGGAGCTGAGATGATTGAACTCCAACAACCAAAACCATCTTCCTATGTGTCAGGTATGACTCCAAACAACAGAGAATTTGCCCCCTGATACCCATTGATTCCAGTTTTGGTATGACTCTTTGATGCCACACTCGGTTGAATGCAGCCTTGATGTCAAGGACTGTTGCTCTCACCTCACTTCTGGAATTCAGCTGTGTTTTTCCGTGTTTGAACCAATGCTGTGATGAGGTCCGGAGCTGAGTGGTCCTGGCAAAACCCGAACTGGGTGTCACTAAGCAGGTTATTGTTGAGCAGGTGGTGCTTGATAGTACTGTTGATGACACTTTCATTACTTTACTCATGATCGAGAGTAAACAGATAGGGTGGTAATTGGCTGGGTTGGATTTTCCACATTATCGGGTAGATGCCAGTGTTGTAACTGTACTGCAACAGCTTGGCTAGGGGAGCAGCAAATTCTGGACCTCAGGTCTTCAGTACTGTTGCTGGAATTTGTCAGGCCCATAGCTTTGCAGTATCCAGTGCCTCCAATCATTTCTTGATATCACATGGAGTGAATCGAATTGGCTGAAGGTTGGTGTTTGTATTGCTAGGGACCACTGGAGGAAGCTATGATGGATCATCCACTCGGCACTTCTGGCTGAAGATTGCTGTAAATACTTCTGCCTCATCTTTTGCATTGATGTGCTGGGCTCTTCCATCATTGAGGATGGTGATATTTGTGGAGCCTTCTCTCCAGTGAGTTGTTTAATTTTCCACCACCATTCTTGACTGGATGTGGCAGGACTGCGGAGCATAGATCTGATCCGTTGGTTGTGGGATTGCTTAACTCTGTCTATCACTTGCTGCTTTTGTTGTTTGGCATTTAAGTAGTCATGTTTGGTAGCTCCATCAGGTTGACACCTCATTTTCAGATCTGCCTGGTGCTGCTCCAGGCATGCCCTTCTGCACTGTCCAGTAAACCAAGGCTGATCCCTGGCTTGATGGTAATGGTTGAGTGGGAGGGATATGCCAGGCCATGATGAATGTGCTGGAATGTAACTCTGCTGCTCTTGATAGCCACAGGACTCATGGATACTCAGTCTTGAGTTGCTAGATCTGTCATTTTTAGCACAGTGATAATGCCACACGGCATGAAGGAGGTTCCCATCAAAGTGAAGATAGGACTTTGTCTCCACAAAGACTGTGCAGTGGTCACCCTAACTGATACTATCATGGACAGATGCATCTCCATCAGTAGTACTGATGCTGAGCCACTCTTGGTAGTAGACATTGAAATCCCACACCTAGTGTACACTTTGTGCACTTGCTGTCTTCAGTGCTTTCTCCAAGTGTTGTTCAATGACAGGGAAATCATGCTTGAAAAATTTACTGGGATTTTTCAATGGTTTAAGTAGTAGAGTTGATAAAGGGAAACTGGTGGATGAGGTTTACTTGGACTTTGAGAAGGCTTTTGATATGATCCCACATAAAAGATTACATGTAAAATTAAAGCTCGTGAGGATTGTGGGTAGCGTATTGACATGGATGAGAGAATTGATTGGCAGAGAAGAAACAAAAAATAGGCATAAATGAGTCTTTTTTACCCCGAGTGGCATGCAGTGAGTAGTGGAGTTTGGCAGGAATCAGTGCTTGGACTCTAGCTATTCACAATATATACTAATGATTTAGATGAGGGAACTAAATGTAGTATCTCCAAGTTTGTAGATGACGCAAAGCTGGATCAGAGGATGAACTGAGACTACGATGAAGAGATGCTTCCTTATGATTGAACAAATTGAATGAACGGGCAAATGCATGGCAGATGAAGTATAATGTGAATAAATATGAGGTCATCCATGTTGGTAGCAAAAGCATGAAAGCAGATTATTATGTGATTCATGATAGACTGGGAAATGGGGAGGTGCAATGAGACCTGTTTGTTCTTGTACACCAGTAGCTGAAAGTAAGCATGTAGGTACAACAGATGGTGAAGAAGGCAATTGCCATGTTATAAAGTCATACAGCACAGAAAGACCCTTTGGCCCATTAAGCCTGCGCGAAACTATTGACACTAATCCTACTTTCTAGCACGTGGTCTTGCATGTTATGTCATTTGAAATGATCCCACCTCTACTACACTCTTAGAGAGTGCATTCCAGATTTCCACCACCCTCTGGGAGAAAAAAAAAATCCTCAATCCCTTCTAAACCTCTTGCCCTTTCCCTTATAATTATGTATCCTTGTTATTGAACCTTCAACTAAGGAGAATAGCTGCTTCTTATCCACCCTGTCTATGTCCTTCGTAATCTTATATTCCTCAATCAGGTGCTCATTCGGCCCTCTCCGCTCCAAAGAAAGCAACCTGAGCCTATCCAGCCTCTCTTCAGGTAACAGGTAACATCCTGCGGAATCCCCTCTACATGCCCTTCAGTGCCATCACACCCTTCCTGTAATGAGGTGACCAGACTGAACACCAGACTCCAGCTGTGGCCTAACCAAAATTCAAAACAGCTCCACCATAACCTCCCTGTCCTTCGGTCCAATCAGTCCATGCTGAAAATAATCCCAAACTAAATTAATCCCACCTGTCCCATATCCTTCCAAACTTTTCCTATTCATGTATCCATCCAAATGTCTTTTAAACGTTGTAATTGTACCCACATCTGCCACTTCCTCAGGAAGTTCCTTCCACATATGAACCACCCTCTGCGTAAAAAATTTGCCCCTCATTGCTTTTTTAAATCTCTGTCCTCTCACCTTAAAAATGTGCCTCCTAGTCTTGAAATACCCATCCTGGGGAAAAGACAACTACCATTAACTCTATCTATACACCTCATTATTTTATAAACTTTGGTAAAGTCACCTCTCAACCTCCTACACTCCAATGAAAAGAGTCCTAGTCTATCCAGCCTTTCTTTATAACTCAAACCCTCCATATCCTGCAACATCCTGGTAAATCTCTCCTGAACTGTCTCTAGCTTAATAATATCCTTCCAATAACTTGCCGACCAGAACGGGACACTGTATTCCAGAAGAGGCATCACCAATGTCCTGTACAACCTCAACATGACTTCACAACTTCTATGCTCAGAAGTCTGAGCAATGAAGGCAAGCGTGCCAAACACCTTTTTAACCGCCATGTGTATGTATATGTGATGCAAACTTTAAAGAATTATGTACCTGAACTCCTAGGTCCCTCTGTTCTACATTATTACCCAAACCCCTACCATTAATTATACAAGCCCTACCTTTGTTAGGTGTACCAAAATGCAAAACCTCCCATTTATCCAGATTGAACTCCATCTGCCATTTTTCAGGGAACGTGTTGGTTTTCTACTCTATCCATTTCCTTTTTGACAATTCCCCATTGTTCTGGTTTAGATTTTTCCCATATATTGGCTTTCATAGCAAAAGGAGTCAAGGACAGGAGCAGGGATGTCTTGCTGCAATTCTACAGGACCTTCATGAGACCACATCTGGAGTATTGTATGCAATTTTGGTGTCATTATTTGAGAATGGATGTTCTGCCTGTGTAAGGAGTACAACAATGAATTGCCAGACTAATTCCTGGAATGGCAAGATGATGTATCAAGAGCTACTGAATTGGTTAGGACTATTTTAACTGGAGTTTAGAAGAATGAGGGTGGATCTCACCAAAATCTATAAAATTCTAACAAGGCTAGATAGGGTAAACCACAGGAAGGATGTTCCCGATAACCGAGGAGTCTGGAACCAGTGTCACAGACTAAGGATATGGGGTATGCCATTTCGTACTGAGATGAGAAGAAATTTCTTCACCCAGAGAGTGATGAATTTGTGGAACTCTCTTCTGCAGAAAGCAGTTGAGGCTAAATCATTGAATATTTTCAAGAAGGAATTATAGTTCTTAGGTCTAAAGGGATCAAAGGGTATAGAGAGAAAACGGG